CGCTCCATTTTGTGATGAGCCCCCTTATCTTCCCTCTTCAGGTGCCAAAGGCCCCGCGGTGCTCTGCATCCAGAAGCCGATGGCATGGACAACACTATCCCCCTCTCACCAAATAAGATTTTCATCCATGTTTTGCATCCATGCTGTTTGGGGTCTTCGCCGGCACGTTGTGCCCCAAACAAGAAACATTTGGAGCTTCACTCGTCAGAAAAAAAAGAAGAACGCAGCGGCTGGATGGGCTGCACGCGGCGCGGACTTGTGGGCCCCATGGTGGGCCCGTAGAACAAAACAAGAAAAACAAAGGCTGGATGGGCCGCACACGGCGCGGGACCACCGTGGGCCCGAGCTTGTACCGCGAAGAAGAAAATAGCGCGGCGGCCAGATGGGCGGCGCGCGGCCCGGAGTGGGCTCGCGAAGAGTGCGGAGGCCAAGTGCCGGCTTCTGTATAGAGCAGCGGTTCACCTTGCGGGAGTGCTAAAAGAATTGTTTTTACCCAAATAGGAAATGTTTGGGGTCCCTCAACAAAAGAAAGCGCGCCGGCTGGATGGGCGTCGTGCGACACGGACTTGTGGACTGGCTTGGGCCCACGTCAGATATGCGGTTGGCTTTGCCATGTCGGCTGGCCCTGAGCCCGGAGCTGTGAGCCCGACGGATCCGCCTTTGGATGGGCGGTGCATGGGTGGGAGCTGTGGGGCTGCCGTGAGCGTGCCCGAAATCTGGATTTCAAATGCGATATGCTTTTGGATCCCTTGGTTGATGAAACCTGACAATGCGGACTGCCCGCGGGATTCCCATGCAACTTCCCGAGTTCGCATAATTTGAAAAATTGTGCTTTACAGGGGAACTCATGAAAAATGTTTTATTCATTAATGGGATACATGGGGTTCATTATCGTTAAAAAGAGGTTTTAATGGAAAGTCCTCTTAAATTCCGTGAATGTGGTGGAGGTTTCCCATCGGGTTGCTCGAAACCTCCTGAGTCCACGTAGCTTGGAAATCTTGGTTGCAGAAAAGACGACGGTAACGAAGATGGTGAGCTGGACACCCACCACCGCTGTGACTGTTCACACTTCTGAGAGGCCCGGGTTGGGGATCAGGAGACCATATCAAGGAAAGCGCGGGGATGCAGAACGCAAAGCACGCAATCATATGCGGGATTTCCATGCGATTTCCCTTTAAATCATCTGAATGCGAATAACCAGGAAATGTTTTTTGGGGATTCGGTTTTGAAGACCGTGAGTGCAGGCAGGTAACCTTGAAAATTCAAACTGTCTGGATTTGCATAGGGATTTCTGAGTCGCATGACTTGAAGTCTTGTTGGAGCAGTACTGTGGTAATGTAACACTGGTTTCCGGATGATGATGATGGTTTGCTGGGGATGATCATGACTGGTGCAGCGATGACGGAGGAATGAACCAATGAATGAAAGAACGGATAACGGTAGTAAGCCTTGTATACCATTGCCGGTTCTGCAGCTTGAGACATGCCGACAAAAGAGAACGGTATTTACTTCATATGCAATATGGCGGTCACGCCCAAGATGATTATGACTTGGCTGATGCTGTGCAGCAAAACGGGCACTCATCATAAGAGTCGTTTTTATCTAGCATCCGAATGCCATGGACATGATTTCCCATGATGATGATGGTGACGACGGGGAAGCCCGCGATTATGATGAGCAAGTTGTGCTTTGCAGTGATGTTGGAGATACTTGGGATGGTAGTAAATGTTGGTTTTTAATGCCATGTTGAATGCAAATTTGTTAGCTTGACATGCAAGAACCATAAAAATACGAAAGTAATCAACCAATCCAAACAACAATTTTTGCTACATCAGTTGCTCTAAAATCGGCCATGCCCAAAACTCTCAACCTGACGTCCGAAACCCCAAACTTGCCAGCTCAAGGCCGGGCTCAAGATGCTTCCATCTTTATCCTCCAACCCCACTCCCTAAACCCAAAAACCCGCCAGGTTAAAGCACGGGATCAAAATCTCCCCATCCTAACCTTCGAGCCCGCACCTGGACCCCTTAAAACTAAACCCCAAACCTTTCAGATTCAAAGCACCTTGAGCTGCAATAATGTCTCACAATGCTGATATTCTTTGCCCGAAGCCCTCAAATCAAAATCCAGCGACACAAGAATCAGATGTCATTCCATAATGATCAAACCTGCCGAATGGAAACCTAAGAAAGGGCAAAACCACCCAAGAGACAATATTCTTAGATGTGTGTGTGTGTGTCTAACTCTCTAAAAAATGACTGAACTATTGCTGTGTGTTTTCTGCGCGTTGGAATCGGGGAAGTATTAAACGCCAACTATACTTTACATTTACGTTTTCATTCGCGTGTTTTCCATCCATGCTTTTTGGGATCTTCGCTGGCGCTAATTTTTGACTACTATTATTACTATTCTTTCTACTAGCAGGAAGAGGAACGGGAAAAACATACAAAAACAACCGGAAATAAAATACAGAAAAAAAAACGGAGACAATTTCCAGTGGTTCTTGCTTTCGGAATCGGATTTTGCATGTTATGCTTGGTCCAGGCGCCTGATTGTGCTGATCGGGATGACACTGTGTTGCGTGCTGCTGGCAAGTTTGAGCAGGCGAAAGAATCCTTGAAGATACGTTTCGGGTGCAGCCACTCGTTTTTTGCCCTACTTTGCACTTACAAGCATTGGCAATATAAACCAACAAAATGGCCCGAATTTGTGGTTCCAAAGTTTGTACAAGAGCAGCAGAATGCAATTCGTAGGCGGCATGGTTTGCACCCCGACTGTTGCTGGATCAGCATCTTGTTTTGTTTTGGCAGGATACTTTTACGCCGGGGGCTCAGTCAACGCAAAAGCAGCCATGAAGAAGCAGTGCGTGATTGTTAGCCTCATGCAACATCCATTTTGGGTATGAACAATCAATCCCAAGGAGCTCACTCTGGCGTTCCTGCGTCCGCCAGTCTCTGAAACATACCAATTGGTCTCGCACGGCAGTGCTTGTCTACCTGGCTGAGGTTTCTGCCCCACCTGGAGGCTTTGACTGCTGCAGAAGGCCCGATCTAATCAAAGCTCTGGCTGTCGACCATTGCAATTTGTAGGTGCTCCTTTTGACTCGGGCTCCTTCATCGCTTCGCTACAGCCCGTTGGTGCCGCCCTTTGCAGTTTCAGTTGTCAGTTTAAAGTCGCCATTGGGCCGTGGAAGTGTTCTAGCACTTGGGAGTTGCGATCGCCCACCGAAGCAACTTCTGGAGGTCCTTTCTCGCAAATCTCCCGTGCAGATTGCCCTGAGCCGAGCAAACTCTGTCAGCTTGCTGGACAGCCACAGCAGATGCTTCCAGGTCAGAGTCTGTACTCGCGCTTCATTCGAGGAGCTAATTTCAGGTGGCAACCTCAGCGGCTTGAAGCGGTAACAAAACGTGCATGAGGCATTTAGTTTCAAGCCCTCGACCAGAGAGGCCCTGGTTGGCAAAGCAGGTCGCGACGTCAAGAAGATCTCAGGACATTGTGGAATCTTATCGGCTGGCCTTGGTCCTTGGTGCCAGAAATTCTGAGACGTGTTTCAGGATCCCACCTCACCGCCTGATGCTGGCTTGGAGGGTACCCTGCTGTAACTTTCGTTGCTTTGACACCCTTAGCATTAGCCAGTGCATAGCTTGGGTAGAAGCCCAATCACTAAGACCGATGGCAGCTGGATTTTGCCCCTAAACCCGTGGTGCTCAGGTCTCGATGATTCGAACTCTTCGCAGCCAACAGCCTCGCAGAAAAAGACAGCGCATGGGGGAAGGCGTCTTTTCACAGAGGTGATGCTTGTTTCCACATGCTGCATTGTGGGGCGGGGTTGTATACTTCATCCCTACCTTGAGGTAAGTGTTCCCCAATGCTGGGCTTTCACAAGCACAAGCCTTTGATGCTACGCAGCTGCCATATGCTTTCACCCGTTTCCAAGAGTAATTCAGGTACCGTACAGGTGTTCGGCAATCCGCAAGCAAGAAATCCAGGATCCAAATCTACAACCCAGAGCATGAGTCGTCCAGACTTTCGGGCTGGTACCTGCCATGGGGGTACAGCCGGCAGCGTGACGTGGCATAAGCAAGAGACAGAGCAGCATGTTCAGGAGCATCGTCTGTTTGCTTGCTGAGGATGGCAGATGCTATGCAGAGCATTGATGATACTCCGCAGGCATGAGCATGCATGTCGAACCTGGTGGACCTTTCCTCTTGCAGAAAGGGTTGCAAGCTGCGCAGCTTCGAGCTTCAATTTGTGTGTCCACTAGCAGTAGCAGGAGCTGCGCGAAGCAGGCGTGGCCAGGATGCGCCGCGCAAGCCTTTCCTCACAGTGTGTTGAGTGCCAGCAGCTGACCTCAAGCTGCACAGAGCATTCACAAAAGCTAGCTCCTTGGAGCTGGCTGGTGTTCCTGTTGTGTTCGACGCTGGAGCTGATAGAGCATAGAGCAAAACCACATGACTCAGAGTCGATCATTTCCTGGACTTCTGAACTTGACCTGTTTCTTGAGAAGCTTAGTCCAGGAATGTAAGTCCAAGAGTGCAAAAGTAGTCAGCAATTCGTTGAAATGCCCTTGTCCGTCATTATTCAGTTTTCTAAATAGACATGCCAGAATCATTTTAGACACTGCAACTGGAGCTAGGGATTTTTCCTTGGTTTCTGCATTAGAGGGTTATCGCCGTTATCGCTTTGCCGAAGCTCAGGCAGGCCTCCACAGGAGCCCTTCTTTCAATACTCCTCCAGCAACACAGAATTTTTTCTCGATGTTTCTTCATTAGGCAGCGGTGAGGGGAGGGATGCTTTCATAACGGGGGGAAATGGTTGCAGAGAGGTGGAGCCGGTGTAAGATCCTGCCCGTTCATTGCACAGCCTCTCCGCGGTTCTGCACGCATAGTTTTTCCCTAGACGGCTCAGGATCCTTCCTGGCGATGAGATCTACCCGGTCGAAGGCAGGTGAAGTCCAGGGGCTAAAGCAGATAGGGAAAAGCAGTGGATTACCTACTGAGGATGTCCAGGCCTGAAGCGCAGCTCGCTTTGTTGGCTCCATCTTCTCTGTGCAAAGCGCTTGGGACCTCCGCCAGTGCCGTTGGCCCCTCAGCTCAAATTATGCAGCATGAAGCCTGTAGCCAATGCCTCGCTGAGACCGTGCAAGCACTTCGTTCGCTCCGGATCCTGCCTGTATGGGGACGAGTGCTTTTTTGCACATCCCGATGAGGCGGCTTTTGCATGCGGCTGCCACATGTCACATGTTGTCACATGTACATGTAAGTCACTTAGCGTGTCATAGGCCGGCCGTGAAGCTGTGTTGCGACAGCTGCGGCGAGCCCAACGGCCGAACGCCAAAATTGCAAACCGTACCCTAGCAAAAAGTGCAATGCTTCAATTTCTACATAAACGTTGACGGACGCGTGGCATAGCTCTTTTTCGTGCATCAAAGGTGGGGAGGGACGGCGGAACGGAGCTCGGCTCTTGGCAAAACATTTTCTGATCATTTGAGTTCGTTCGCCAACGCTGTCAATTCATGCGAGTTGCTAGACATCTTCTTTGTGCATTGCCCTAAGTCAAGTGCAAGAGTGCTGCGCCAAAGCTGTTGCATGACTGATTGGAAAAAGAGTTCCGTGAACCCCCAAGCACACGAAAACCAGCTCGGTGGACAAGGTAAAGAACTATAGCAAAGCATCGGTGTTGAGAAGGCTGGAGAGTGCTGAGCCCTATCCTACTTACACAGTTGTGTTATGATCGAATTCTTTGGAGGTGGCTTTTGGACAATTTCGGCGTTGAAAGATTGCGTGCTGGCAGCGGTGTTTTGGATATCGCTGGTGGAAAGGGCGAGTTGGCATGGGAACTCGTCAACCTGAACTTGATTCCTTCGGTTGTGCTGGAGCCACGGTTGCTAGAGCTGCAGTCCGTAGAGCGCAAGTGGCAAAATGGCATTTTCTGGCGCAACCCGATTTTCCACAGCCACCTTCACTGTGCCCATGATGGATCTATTCCACCACAGACGCCACAGCACCTGCGCTTGTTGCTGACGTCGGCGCTTATAAGTTGGCTTTGCCCTGAGCCTTATGTTGATAGCGAGACGGATGACAAGGCGGAAAACCTGAGGGCCTTCAGTGACTCTTGTAGGCGAGCGGCAGACCTTCGCTGGACGCGGAAAGGATTGCGAGTGCACGAGGATGAAATAAACGGCGAAGAACCTGGAGACGATGAGCTTGAAGATCTGGAAGTGCTGCAGGAATGTGACAAGATATTGCAAAATTCTGATGATGCTTCTCTGGAAGAGACGGCCGACGCAGTGCTCAGGTTCAGAATCGTTGCCGCAGGCGTTTTGCATTTCAAGATATTTTATGGTAACACCATTATGATACAGTGCTACATGTGGTCAACTAGTACCTAGTATGCGGCTGTCGAACTTTCTGTGCTGAGGAGACGCGGGCCAGCTCTCTGTCCGAGCAGCAGAATGCAGAGATGGTTAAGGAGTGCATACAAACTTGCAGCGCAGTGCCAGGCTTAGCTTTGCAAGATGGACGCAAAAACTGGTAGCAAGTTAGGCGTGAGGGGTTTAACTGGGAAGTGGTGGCAAACTTGTCTGAGATTGTGGCACTGCATCCTGACCAAGCTGCTGAGCCTGCGTTGCGCTTGGCCCTTGCCTTGCGGAAGCCGTGCGCCATCGTGCCCTGCTGCGTCTACTCGGCAGGAGGGTACTGATCCTACTTGTTACATGTGCTTTGACGTCTGCATGTTGTCTCGCAGAATTCCCGAAGCGCAAGCTGAGCACGGGGCGGCCAGTGAGGAGTGCCTCCAGCTGAGGACAGGTCATGCATGGGGCGTGTCACTGCATGCAGCCAGGACATACCATGATCTTTTGGAGTACCTGCAACAGCTCGATGATCGGATTCAGCGGGTGGACCTTGAGTTTGAGGGCAAGTGTCATTTGGCTTGATGTTCCATTCTAGCAAAGACCCAGGTTCATAAAGCAGAGTCGCACAAGTGGGGGTGCTTGTGTTGAAGTGGGTGCATCGTCCAGCCATGTTTGGAGTCTTGTGCGCCGCGAATGCGCATAGCTGACCAGGAAGGGTTGTGGAAACAAACAAATGCGGACTTTTGTTGCGGGGTTGGATTTCAGAACCTTACCTGCGAGAGTGCCGCAGTGCCTTTGTCACTGGCACCGGCAGCTGGAATCAGTGGTCTGGGACGGAGGCTTGCGTTTGGTGGGGCCAGGAGTGGAGCTGCAGGGAGATGGGGTCGAGGGAAAGGTCCCGATGGACGAAGGGCTTATGACTTACTAACGGTTCATTGCGTCCTCTTCAAAACCTGTGCACGGCTAATTAGTGGTTTGAGGCAACCTGATTTGCATTGGCAAGGCACGTTGCTCTTCATCACTCCTGAAGATGCTGTCCGTGAGCCGTCTGCGGGGTTGCCGGATATCCTTGCCCGCAACAAGTGCCATGACAGTGAACCAGGCGGCCTGTTACTCGAGACTCTGAGCGAAGGAGAACCTGTCTGAAGTGTGGCATGTTGCGAGCGTTACCTTTGCTTAAGCCTTCCAGCAGACATTGTAGAGATGCCGTTAGCAGCAACTGGCTTCGCCTCCATCTGAGAGCCCCATCCTTGCAGATGCAGCTTTGTCATTGCTCGCAGCTGTTTCGGGGCAAAGGGTGAACCCGCCGAGCACATGGAAACCCAACATGGAACGTGGTTGTAGTCGCCCTGCATCGAAATCAGCATGCCAAATCCAGGGCTAAACCAGAACGCCAAGAATGGAAGGTGGCAAAGCAAGGATATGCCAGTTGTGGCATAGTATTTCGCATCACTGGGCATTCCCAAGCTCATCAGCCTGCTGTGTGCCTGACCGACGGCCATCGGCTTAGGTTTGGAGCCATTCTGAACAAGCAGGCTAAGATAGGCTAAGCAGGCTTCAGGCATTTCGTTTAGTCAAGCAGGTGCATCGTTGGCTCCGCAGCCTGGTGCCATGGTGTCTCGCTTGGCAGATGGGGTAAAGCGGCTTCAGGTCAGGGAAGGTCAGGGCAGGTCAGGGGACGCTTCAAGCTTTGTGCCAGCAGAGAACTTAGCTGCCCTTGAATTTGTGAGGCTGAGGAAGCCGACCAAAACCAGGCGGAGAATGAGCAGCAAGGCGCTGTGTTCGCAGCTCAATTTGTCTGTCAGTAACGGGAGCTTGTCACAGACTTCTTTATACATGTGGCAGCATCAGCTCAGCGAGAGCTGCAAGTCAATTCTATTGTGGTGAAACTTGGAAAGCTTGATTAAGAGGCCCCTGTTTCTCATGATGCTTCACGTGGACCCGGAGCGTCGTATCGTGATTCATTCTGGGTCGCATGTCAGAGCTGGTGGTGTCCAGTGGGTTTGCCTCTAACCGTAGACGTATTCAGAGCCTTCGGCATGCATGGACTTTACATGTCTGACACTTCGAGATTGCCCAGAGCAGACAGCGTTTGCCAGGGTGATCCTTTCCTATTCTTACATACTCCACTTGACATTACATTCTTCCCCCCAAGGTTGCATCCAGCCATATCCAGCTTTCCCTGGCCTCATGGTTCCTCCCCTGCCAAACACAAGCCATGCGGAAAGAAATGCCTGAAACGCCAGAGCATGCGAATACGGTGAAACAATTAATGAGGTCAGGGGTCTAGGCTTCAAGTTCGTGCTGATAGGAACCACGGAAAGCATCGGAAAGCATTGGCAGCGTCAACACAGCAAAAAGGGATGCTGCGCAAAGAAGACACAGCAGACCCAGCTCCTGGTCAAGAGGAGGCACTGCAGTGTGCCTTACGGGCAAGGTCGGTCGCGGGCGGCGTTATTCACGTGTTTGGCGTTGGCCATAAGTCCAGACCAAGCCCGACTTCTGGGTGCCATGCGCGCTTTAAACGGAGCCAGCTGCGCCAAAGCCCACCAAAGGATGAATTGTATCAGTTGTAACCTGGCACGACAAAGCTCCGGAAAAAAACATTGGATTGAGCAGACCCCAACAAGAGCAGTCAATTTTGCTTTAGGTCACTGCTGGCATTACGTTCCACAGGCTTTGGTGAAGAGACCTCGGCTAGCGAGCAAAAATTCCTCACTAGGCAGGACGCGATTTAGGACAGTCTGTGATGCGAAGTTTTTCAGGAAGAAGTTTTATAATTATCAGTTTTCCCTTCCTTTATTTTCATTTCGTGGAAGGGGTGTCTGGAATCCTTTGCTGGACCAGTGCGCACCGATCAAGAAAAGTCGTCGATTCGCTTCGTAGTGCTAAGAATCATGCAACGATCAGCATGCAGCTCTGCCATCGTGGGAATATTCAAATTTCAAAAGGTATGGCGGTACAGCCTGCTTTGCATTAGAGTCTGGCTGTGAACAGGCTCTTCCTGGCCAGGTCTGCCACAGGCAAACCTAGAAGTTCAACTATGCATTTCCATTGTGCTTCTCTATTTGATTCTCCGTTATTGCGTTTATCCCTAAAGCCCACTATTACCCGTGTACTGTAGGATCTCTATACGGTCCCCACATAAACCGTACACTGAAGAGGGTATACAGCAGAAACACGGCCTGACCTTTGATTCCCCTCCGAAGATCACGGACCCCTAAACCCCTACAGTACTTCCCTAAAGCCCCTATACCTCTACATAACTTCGTATTGAAACCCTATACACCCCCTTTACCCCTTAAAGCCCCTCACCCTTTAGTGTAGTTCCGCCTCCCGTGGCAATAACTACACCAGCCACTGAATATGCTGGTAGCAGCCGTTGGCTGGGTGCGGTTTTTGCGCCGTGAGGAAATCCTGAACTTGAATATTTGTCGTAAAGAGTGCAGTCCAGCGCCACGAACCCCAAATCTGTCACATGACTTCAACTGCGGGCCCCCCTTTCTACAGTGGCTCATGCTGTACAAGGCTTGGCCCAATGTGTCACAGACTTGTAGATGAGCGTTTGATGCCTTACAGAGTTTTATCAGCGTCGAGCAGATGCTCCAATTCAACATCCAGAACCTACCTAGATCTCCTGCAACCTTGGCTCAGCTTCTTGAAATCCTCTCGAAGAGTTCGGAATAAGCAAGCTACGCAGTCGCAAATTTTTAGGCCCAGGCCCCTTCAATGGCTGCTCTTGAAGGAGGTGGCTGTTTTGCCAGCGATTGTGAAGCGATTGGGGAGTGACATAGCCTACTCTAACTGGGAATTCACCCATTTTCAGGGTTCAACACAGACTGTCGCGAGATTGATTCTTGACGCCTGGCTGGCTTCCATGAGTTTGTTCCCCACCCTCAAAGTGGGGTTGTTAGACTTTAACAAGTCTACGTTCTCCTTGCCCTCTGCGCGGCGCCCAACCGCAGAGTATCCCGGCAGTGCCCAACCGCAGCGGTGCTTACCTTCAGAGGTATCCACGCAGTGCCCAACCACAGGCCTGACAACCGATATAAAAAAGACCGTATCTCACGTAGTCCTAGTAACCCCTGAAAGGGACGCTAGACAGTCCCTGAAGGAAATTGCATACCCCTGGTAAACCACTCTGTAGGCTTGATAATCTTGCAAAGGATTCTACATACCCGGTGTAACTCCTCTAAAGGGTCCTAGTGGAGGCCTTTATCCTGGCGGGCCCATAGCAGGCCTCGGGGGATGCACGGTATTTGCAGCGTTTCCTGCGTTCCGATGATTCAATCACTACAGTCATCTCCATGCTTGAAGCGATTTTGCTTCCAAAAGCGACCCAACTTTCACATGAGAGTTGTCACGTTCCTTTCATGGTGAAAGCAAGTCAAGAACTGGTGCACATGGCGGCGCTTGGCCAGGCTTACTTATCGCGAGACCCAACGGAAGTGCTTGCTAAATCGTCCCAGAATGCGCTTGCTGCTCTGGCTTCCTGCCTCTGCAATGCATCTCTCCCCGTGTGCTGTGCCCATGCGAAGCGTAGTGGTGAGGGAGGATCAGGTCATCTCTATCTGTGGGGTGCCACCGCACACGTGCCGACACCAAATCGTCGGTCAACGCAGTCCATGCCACCGCCAGGCACCTTCCCAACGTGGCGACTTCATGGGATTTCCGCGGAGGCTATCCTGAAGACGACTGTTTCCAGTCGCTTCAAGAAACTAGGAGGCTACTGAAAAAAGGCGCTGCCAGTGCCTGTCCTGGAGAGTGCTCGCTTGAAATCCGTACGGAACTACCCCCACCCCAATCTCCCCTGCCTCCTATGTTCGACACCAACATACACCACGAAAACGGTGGGTCCGCCGTGGACCCGCTTCGTCATTCATGGCACCTCAAAAAACCCTATACGGCCCCAGTAGCGCTTTTACATGTAGGCTTCAAGGGATGCTATACAACCCCTTAAACCCCGACCGGTCAACGACGCCTAGTGCTGGACAACCACACTTTAGGGTGGGAATGCTCGAAGTGCATAATGTCAATGGCTCCCTGTCTCCCGTCCACCTCTCTCCCTCTGCCTTCTTTTAAGCTTGAGGTGAGGCACATCACGTTAGAGCTGCAAAATCCTCACTTCCCTTCACTTGGCTGAACCACCAAGAATCAACCCTGGCTAATGGACCTTTAGAAGATCCCGCCCGCTTCTTCTGAACTTAGGTAGGGGTAGGTTCATGCCCGGTTTGCTGATCTTATGTTTTCAGCTTACAGTTTGTGACTTTGCGCTTGATGAAAAAGCCCGGGAAGGTCTCAAGATGTGAAAAGCAGCGAGCCTGTATCATGCGCATGTCTACCAGATCCCTGCCTTTCTGCTTTTTGGTCCTCTGGGGCCAAGCAGACCCGCAGTTTCGCGCGACGGTGCAAGTCATCGCGGATGAAGACTCGCAGGGCTCGGCATTGATCCTTGCTGTCTCAAGCGACTGGGCCTCTCCCACGGTATCTTTGTGGAAATTGTGTTTCACGTGGCTGAAGGCAGTGGTCTTGCGACAGCCACTGGACGCATACGTCAGCGGCAGCTACGTGTGTTTGCCAAG